ACACGATGAGGACAAATGGTGGGAAGGAGAGAAAGCAGGGTCTGAAATGATGGCAGGTGTTAGTGGCAGATAAATGAAAATTATTTATATGTTGATAAATGAGACAAATAATTGACAAAGCTTTTTATGAAAATGTCTTAGTATATAACTCAAAGCTAATTTCGGCGTCGTCTGCTAAAGTTAGCCCCTGAAGCTAACGTTAGCTGGCAGATTTAAGCATTGATCAGGAGGACACACATGTATTTGCCTTTTGCCGAATTAACCAGAAGACAGCTTCACATCATTCTGGAGTTTGGCATGAGGTTTTTAATCACTTTATACATACTAACGAGCTTATTACTTTCTACTAAAGTGTTGCTACCTACCGCTGTCTGCTTTGAAGCGCTCGTGCTGCTTCCTGAGCGCCTCGTTAGCATTCTGCAGCTCTGTAACAAACTTCTCGAGCTTGTTCTGGGCTCCTTTCGGGAGTTTATTCAACTCTGCCCGCTCCAGAACCTGCAGCAGGACGGCCGCCATCTCCACCTATCCCGGTCCCCCTGAATATTAATATTAAATTGCAAAAACGCTGGTAAAATGATTGTCGCACTGTCCACAAACCCGCTGAACTAACCGAGTTTTAAGGCACACTCCTAAGCGGGAAGCGTTGAAAAGTTTCAAAATAAAGTACTCATTGACAACCAAGCCCGCTGTGACTTAACCAGGAAGCCACCTAGCCTAGGATTTGCACCTATGAATTAAAATGACTGGTGGAGTGAAAAAATCAGTTTTTTATGTGGAACAAAATTCAATTTCATATAAAAAAAGGAACAGAACGAAAACATTGCTATTTTTTCAATGATGATAACAGTAACAATATATTGCAATGTGTTTTACTTTAGTTAAGCCTAACTGTAACTGCCCTTTGACATTTAAAAGTCGTAATTAAAGTACCTCGATAGATGGATTCAAACCAAAGTAACGCATTGAGAGTCTGATGCTGACAACTAGTTGTTGTGTTTGGGTTACTTTTGGAAGTTTTATTTTGGAAACATTTACAATGTTCCGTTTTCTTGTGTAACTTGACCCCTACCAGCCCTACGACAGAGTCGTGCGACGGAAATACGTCATTGCGCAAAGCATAGTGGTGGTAACTAGAGGTTTTCTGCACTGCTTACGAATCCTGACGAACCATTGCCTGCTGTCAGAATTAATAGCAAGTATCCTGCCTTCTGGCTCATATTTTACCCACTGTCTTGCTTCTGTCAGGTAATTTCTCCGAAAAACATCAAATTCAAGCTGTAACAACTCATTTCAATTGGAACTCACCATCTAACGTTAGCTTAATGAAGTCAATAAAACCAGTAGGCTAAAGTTAGAGCATATAACCCTTAAGGACAATACAAATACAAATACAAATACAACTTCGGCTCAACGTTAAGTCCTATGACTTAACGTTGAGCCTAAGTTGTACTTTGTATTGTTTACTTTAGTTTGATATCGCAAGCGTACAAAGTATTTGCTGTGTTCTTCCACATTTCCCAGCACTTTCTCATTGCAGACATGTTTTTAAGACAAACATTGTCTATAACTGATGTTGCCTCCCCCCCTCTCTCTTTCCTCTCTGTCCTCAGGCAGTATGGGTCGCAGTTATATCGTAGAAGATGCTGTGGAGGGATGTCTGTCTAAACTGTGTGAACAGAAAGCAGGTTCAGTCACAGGCCTGCTACTTGGACAGGTGAGGTGATACAGAAAAATCTATGTGGAGTTTAACTTTTGCTCAGTAATCCTGTCTTGTTAACTAGTGGACTTCTGCCTTGGAGTAACAGTTTGCTATCCAAACTGCAAGACAAACTAGAAAATAATCACTTGCACAAAACTCAAGTTTTAGACACATTTTTGTTTTCTCTTTTGTTGATCTATCTGTCATCAAGTGTGCAGTAGGCCTGCACAATTGATAAATGGTAACTATTTAACTGATATTGCAATTGCAATATGATTTGCAATACTGGAGCGATTGATCATGTTTGCGTGATTATTCTCATTATCATTCAAAGTTATAATGATCATGGTGTGATTTTTGTACCGAACAAAGATATTTTTTGAAGCCTATAGAGTGTGATTTGTATGCAGGGTCCTCTATGGAGCTACTCCATCCTTCATTCAGAATAATATTTACACATCATTTGTCTGTAACAAAAACTGTGCCTCCTGTTTCTTAAATATCGCCCTAGCCCATATTGCGATTTTGCTTAAACTTTGATTAATTGTGCAGTTAGTGTCTCACTTTGTTGAATGTATTGGATTGTTGGGTCACATAATATTAAATGAAAGAGTATTTATCGTACGTGAATTGATTAGACAGTAATCAATATTAATGACTAACATTTCAGAGCTCACCCCAAAGGGACTTTGTCGTAATGGCAACTCGGACGCCTCCTAGGGAGGAGACCCCTGCAGGAAACCCTGTGGACAAGGAGTGGGTGAGCGAGCACGCTCGACAGGTACGCTCTGTGCTAATACTGGGTCTGAGAACTCAAAAGGAAAATGAACCACCTTTATTGTGGCTGTCCAATCAGTTTGGTTAGTCGTTTTGGCTAATTAAAGGTATCCCTCGGTGCATGCTTTATTAGATAATAAGTGTGTATAAAATGAACTACAAAAGTTCAGAGTGTGTAGGGTTTGGAGAACACACTCATTAAATAGTATATTTAAAAAATTGAATTCCACTTGGTTGAATACCTTTTAAAATGTATCTACATTACATGTTACTTGTTAGACGCTCTTATCCAAAGCAACTTACATACTCAATACTGTGGACAATCCTCACAGGAGCAATTTGGGGTGAAGTGTCTCAGGGACACAACGACATGCTGACTGCAGTGGGGTTTGAACCTGTGACCCCCTGATCCCAACACCAATGCACCTACTGCACCACACGCCTCCATGTAATGATTTTGTAGAAGCTATTTGTTCTTTAGCCAAGAACAAGCAAAACAAAAAACAAACTTAAACTTGTTTTTCTCGTTCTAGCATTCACACTTTAAGATGTAATGTGTTTTTGCTTTGCCTGCAGGATTTGATACTGTTCATCATCTCCTGGTTTGATCTGTTTTCAGGTGTCTCGGATGCTACCTGGAGGCCTCTCTGTACTGGGAGTATTTATCATCACTGATACTGAGGCAAAAGACACACTAACCACACTCCGACAGGTACAATTCATACAAACACGGAGTACATGTATGATGTAGGCACAATTAAAGCTGCAGCAATCCATTTCTGGCCACTAGGGGGCGAACAAAAATTACAATATATGACAGATTACCTTTGATTATAAAGTTGATGTGACTTGTTAGGACCTACGTTTACTGATGCAATACCTTTTGAGGAACAGAGAAAAAAAATGAAAACCTAAATAAATAATGATGGTATTTCTCCAATAGCCCTTTTTTGTTTCCATTTGTGACATATACCTTCTGAATTCTGTACATAAAGGCAAATGGCACATGATGGGGCTGCAATCTAGGTGATGCTGTTGAGCCATGTTGCCCGCACATAACAATACGCTTATTCTTAATACATTTTCACTATTTTAGAATTTTGTGTTGAAGAAAATTGCATTTGAAAGCATTGTTTAGGCCCTCAAAGTTCAGATACAAAGTGCAACACCACTAGAGCCTAATCACACAAAGTCTTCATTCATCTTGAAGTGCTTTTTAAAGGTTAGGGTTCACAGATTTTAGGTCACAAGGGAGGGTTGAATCAAATGAATTTCTGTCTAAAACTTGGAGCGAGGAACTACCATCCAACAATTCACACACACACACACACACACACACACACACACACACACACACACACACGAACCTCACACAGAATATTGCCCTGCCCGCTAATACAAAAACTCCCACTATGAACCTTAACATTTGATTTGTTGTTTTGTGTTGCGGTGATCCTGACGTGTCACCCAATGTATTCAGTTATTTTCTGTTCTGTCTATTTGACTTGTGATGTCTCCCTTAACTTAACATCAGCATCCATTTTCAGTCTCATATTTACTGTCTGTAAATATATTCTGGCTTTATAAGATAAGCACTCTGCTAAGCTCTGGAAGTGATTTCCACATCACATTTCCATGGCTCATGTGCATGTACCTGTGAGTGTGTTTTAATCCTCTGATGTGTGTGTACTCTGTGTTCAGTTGGTCTTCGCGATAGAGAGCCTGGTCTCCTCGGAGCAGCTGTGGAGCTCTGCAGAGGATGACGTCTCAGACTGTGTCGCACTGCATGTCAACCGCAAGACCAGGAAGTATCCTTTCCACTCCGCCTGCTCATTGTTTCAGTCAGCCAGCAGATACTGGCTGGATATTCTTTAACCCCACATATCAGAACCTTCTGCAGAACCTTTGACGTCAAAGATCCCAAGGTGTGTTTACCTTTCTCTCACAGAACCACCGCTTCAATCTGCTGTCTCGACACTTATATAATACTCAAGCTACTCCATCAATTCCATTCATTTGTTCTCCTGAAGCATCACTTCAAAGGCATTTTGACATAAGGCAATTCAAGTGCTTTGCATAAAACCCTATAAGCATTAGATATTTAGATATTATACTGTATTATAATATTATGTTTAAGTAGTATTTAAAAACATTCGTCCCAATGAGGGGACATTTACATTTTTACAGCAAAAGTGTATATATAGGGACAAATAATAAAACACTGTTTGCTAAAAGATAAAATAGAATATGTTTGTTATAAATACCAGAATTAAAGTTCCAGTGCAGCTTAAGATGTGAGTAGTTATTATTTTAATAAAAAGCAGCGGCATATTTGTTGACCGGGATCCATTGAGATCAGGGTCTGAAGATTGAAGCTTGTGTAGTTCAAATAATGTTAATGTGATGATCTGTTCCAGAGCACGGCCAAGCCTGCAGACTGGAGGTACCAGGCGGGGGTGTGCTCCTCCTGGAGCATGGTGTCCTGCTGTCTACATGTGGACATGTTGGTGCCGCTACCAGACAACAAGACGGATCCAGAAAACATGGATAAATGTCTTAAGGTTAGTGCCAAACACCACACACACACACACACACACACACACACACACACACACACACACACACACACACACACACACACACACACACACACACACACACACACACACACACACACACAGACAGCACACTTTCATTTGCAGGAACTTCAGTAGAAAGCTCTTTGTTTCAGGAGGAGCTGAGAGGGTGGGCACAGCGGCTGGAGAGCGGAGTGTGTCTGATGGATGGGAGAAAGCTGGCAGAGGACGCAGAGCTCCCCGGAGGACAGGTTGTACATATCTGACCAACACTAAGAAAAACATATAACAAAATAAATCTATAAAATCAGATTTGACCTAAAGAAAAAACATCGCTGCACCCTTGCTCAACAGCATTTTGGCAGTGAATGTAGTATGAATGCATAAGGCCCTTGCAGACTGCCAATAGGTCTCATCCCTGTTTCACTTTTTTTGTTTCTTAAAGCCTGAATGCAGAGCTGAATCTAACTGATTCTCTGGATTGAAAAACTGCAGTAATATTCTAACAGGGTGTCCGCGGGGTCTTAAAAAGTATTAAAAGTTGATAAATCAATTTAGCGAAAATTAAGGCTTTTAAAAAGTATTAAAAAGTATTAAACGGCATTTTCCAAGGTATTAAGAAGTCCCACAGCAACGACAACATGAAACACCCTTTAATTTACTGAAACGACATGTCGGGAAACCCCACAAGGCGGCCCCCATAGCGCGCCGTAAAATGCTGCTTATTATTTTAAGTTTCGTTGCCTTGCTCCGCTCTGTGGGGGGGGAGGTCCCAAAGTGGGTAGACCGGCATACGCAACGCTCTGGGGGTCCAACGGCTCCGTGTGTAAGCCCTATATGATCATTTTCTGATTACGATGAAAGAGCCCGCCTCCCTCTCCCCACGTCTCCTGCTGCTGCTGGGCTGTCAGAAGAGGGGGAGGAAAAGAGAGGCAGTCACCGTTTATTAAATATTATTATATTATTATACAGAGAACAGAGTCGTTATCAATTTGTTTTAAAGCTCAATAAATAACAAAGAAGACCTCTGACCGGCACTTTCCTAATTTTGTACGGAAGATTTAAACTTTAACGGACATGTTGACCGGCGGAACATTTTTTTTAACGGAAACTCTGCCGCACGGTTCCCTCGTTCCTTGGAAGAGGCGGAGAGGTGGGTGTTTTTCATCTGCTGGTGGACTACCTGAGAGAGATACAGCAGGAGAACACGCCGTCCACCGCGGAGAATAAACAGAAGGGCAACCATGGCAACCATGCTCCGGGGTCTTCTTCGCTGCTTTTGGTGTATTTCGGGCGGCAGCAGCGCCACTTACAGGCCTGACATATGTACTACATCGTTTCCAGCATTTCCAGCGGTCTAGTGTGAACGGACACGTTAATGAATCGAATGCGTGTGAACGGAAGCCTTTTTTTGCGCTTGCGTATGCGTTTTACCGTATGCGTCCTTGTGGGGCCGGGGTCTAAGCCAAACTATATCCGGTCACAGAGATCTGCTATTTTAAAGTAAAGTCAACACATATTGATC